CACCCATAGTGAAGGTGCGCGGCCCGCCACCCCAACCAGCCAGCCGCCCGCCTGTGCCAACCGATGGAAGCCTTCAATCAAGATAAGGAAAAGAATGGTAACTTTGAGAGTCAAAGTGTATTGCATATTGGTTATTCAGATCACGAGAGTTTAAATAGCTGCGTTCGTCCACGTCACATCGTGTTGGATTGTTCATTCTTCAACTTCAGTTTCTTTGTTATCAGTATATCCTTGATTACATATATATATTGCTTGCCACTACTTACTTCAAACTTCCCATCTTTCTATATATAACTTCGGTCTACTACTACTACTACTACTACTACTACTATCAATATGGGATCAAACGATGAAGCATCGTGGCGCCGCCTGAGCGTCGGTATCGTTGGTGGTGGTATTGGTGGTATGGCTGCGGCCATCTCGCTCCGTCGAGCAGGTCATGATGTGACTATCTATGAGCGTCATGATTTCGCGGGTGAGGTTGGAGCGTCGATTTCGTGCGCGGCGAATGGCACTCGCTGGTTGCACGAATGGGGAGTCGATGTTGCTAAGGGTGATCCGGTTATTCTGCGCAAGTTGATCAACCGCGACTGGAAGACTGGAGAGCCTGTTAGTGTGTATGATTTGGGGGACTATGAGAAGCGTTGGGGTTATGTCTATAACATGTTCCATCGGCAATACATGCATGCGATGTTGAAGGACTGTGCTATGCAGGAGGAGGGCCAGGGAACGCCTGCGAAGCTGAAGGTCAATTTTCAGGTTCGTCGCGACATACGCTATTTTTGCTCTCTGGAGCAAGGTCCGATTATATCGCTGGCATGCTAATGTTGAGAACTATACAGTGCAAAGATATTGATCTGAATTCCGGAGTGATCACCTTTGCCAACGGGGAGACTGCCCAGCATGACTTGATCGTTGGTGCTGATGGAATCGGCTCGGTTGTCCGTGGTATTATTGGTATTCATCCTGAAAGAAAGCCTGCAGCCTCCAGCTGTCTGCATACTAATGTAACGACGGAGGAGGCTGTTCGGCTGGGTCTGGTCGATTACTCGAAGAACAGTGCGCTTGAGTACTGGGGTGGCCAGGAAGGCAAATGGGATAAGATCGTGCTCTCGCCTTGTAACGGTGGTCGCTTGCTGTCGTACTATTGTTTCTTCCCTCGCGAGATGGGAGACTATGCAAGCCAGACCTGGGGTGGCGAAGACCGTCCCGTCGAGGAACTTCTCGCGCCTTATCCTCATCTCGATCGCCAGGTCTTCTCGCACCTGGCAATTGGCAAGGAAATCAGACCATGGCGTCTCTGGGTGCAGTGAGTACCCAACTAATACACTCTCACAGTCGCTTGGAAGTTGTTTGCGCTAACGGTGGGCAGCCAACCATACCCATATATCTCCCGCAACATGGTTTGCCTTCTCGGTGACGCAGGGCACCCGGTATGTTTTGACCTACGGATTTGAACAATAGACAGTATTGATTAACGCATCCCATTGCAGATGATGCCCCATCAGAGCCAGGGTGCCTGCATGGCAATTGAAGACGCTGCAGCCCTGGGGATTATCTTCAGCAGGGCGCACTTCAAGGGCGATGTCGCCGATGCGCTGTCGATCTACCAGGAAATCCGATTGCCCCGGGCCACCAAGGTTCAGTCAGCTTCGGCGAAGGCAGCATATAATATCAACGAGCGCATTGGTAAGCGAGATCCACGATGCTAAAGTAGCGAAGATACTGGTCCTAACTACTCTATCCAGGTTTCTCTAGCAATACCGACACCGCCACCTATAAGGTTGAGGATGAGAAGAAGAAACTGACCATTGAGGAGATGAATGCGTAAGTTTTTTTGGCCCATCTGATTTTGTTCTTGCGCCATTGTCTACGTCCAGACTCTGACGATCAAACCAGATATGACATGCACAGAGACATCGAGGAAGTTGTCGCCGTGCGAAGGGGGCTGCCGCACACAGACAAGTTCATCAGAGGGCTACCAGTCGGCTTGAAGCTAGGAAACGGGGTAGTTGTCGGGGAGCAAGAGACTAGCTCATTTCAGCCTCGGATTTGAGTACAGCATGCGGCGTGCTAGTGTGTTTTGGGGGGCGCAGCATTAGTTTCGCGCCGGTGGAGGAGTTCTTTCTTTTGGCGTTGTATTGTATCTAGCGTGATCATGATCTGAGATTGTACTTGAGCAGCTGATAGCATTTATCTACTATGGGTTAGTGTGACACGTACGGGGCAACCTTTTGGGGCCTTCTCGAATGCGACTTTCACATCACCGCATTGACAGACCATGTGCCCGATCCTGGAAGTATTGAAGTTTTGTTTTCGTTCTGTTATGAAAGATTCCATGCATAGTATACCATCCTACTGGCCGAACCCCTCACAATGTGCAGAGTTCCGATTCGGCGAAGACTGTGATGGCGCTCCGTGGTTGCTAACCAAATGACCTGTGAAGTTGATAGGGTCGATTTCGGGCGAAGAGGGCCATGTGCGCTGTGTGTGCTCAGACACGGAGAAATGGATCAGCGGGATGTGGAGACGGGAAAAGGAGAGGAACAATGGGCTGACAGCTCAGCATGGGGTTAGTCGGTGATTGAGTGATAAAAGTACGATCGGCAAAAGGCCAGAAGATGACAAAAACATTGGTCGATTGAGCCTTATCAGACCATTTTATAAACAACATATGAATTGGAGCTATCCATGCGATCTGATAGGGGCAATAAGAATGGGTGGAAATGATTTCCACGAAGGAGGGTGAGAGTGATCTGGTGACGGTCGTCTGATCAGCGGGCGATAATGCAATTGTTAATCGGCTGCCTCGTCTAGACTGAGAGGGGAGCGCGACCATCAATTGGCCGGGCGACTACTTTTTGTCATTAGTCGACGACTCAGAAAAGAACAGACGGCATTGCACATCAACATCCACTCACAACCCGTCGCGGAGGATATGATCGATAGCGCACAGGCGTGGTAAGCCCGATGCAATATGCATTTGCTCAGATGACCAGCAGTGAAACTCTCCCGTAAATAGCAACGTAGCTATGCGTCGCAAGAAGAAGCAAATCCGACTTCTAGACTCGGTCGATCGCGTCTATTCAGCCGTCACGATGCAGCTGATGTTTTACCGGACAAGCCAGCTTCTGCGCTTCTTCCCGGGGTCCTTGTTCAGAAGCCGGTCCCTCCAATAATATCGAGTCGCTATCGTGGAAAATCCTCGAGATCCCTGCACAACGGTAGAAAGCTCTGCTCATACGAGCTTAGGAATAGCCGCCCGACAGGGGTCCATCGTCTATTCGCAAGGCTGCTTGAGACGACATCATTGTCGAAGGAACGAAGGATTTTTTCTGGTTCTAGTCCACCACATCCGCCCTCACTACTGCTTAAGCCTCTATCGCTTGTGTATATCGGGCCTCGTCGATGAGCAACCTCCGCCATAGTTGATTACTCGGCAGGAGGCATGCAGTAATCGCAAAATCTTGGTGTCAATCTTTTCAACATTGGACAACGGAGCAGCCAGCTACATCTCATCCTGCCTAGTTCGACGACGGCATGGAACCAGGAAGGAGTATATTCACCGATCAAGTTGCCGTAAATTTGGGAACTGTCACTGGCAATCGGTTGCACATTCTGAACGGTCCTCGTGACAATACTGTCGTTGTTGGAAATACAGATGCCATGTTATCGCTCATATAACCAAGATCAAAACACTTTTTCTCAAGGTCATGACATAGCATAGTCATGAGGACTTGGCTGGGCAATAAACCGTACGAACTGATGTGCAACCGCGGCTTGCATCTGCAGGTAACGCATCTCGTATGATTTGGTCGTCCAAGCCTTGGTAGACCGGCATGCTTTGTATGAGAAACGTCGAGCGTATCCGCAAGGGATTCTCGAATCCCAATCATTAAAGCCAGTCTGTAGTAACCATCCTTCGATAAAGAGTCCCGATCAATGAATATGAATTTCTGTCAGATGTCCCATGACTTTCAGTCATCAATACTATTCGGTGTGCGGGAACGGAAGCGCCGAAACTTCCAATTGCCTTTCGATAGAAGTATATGGGATGTCGATGGGGTTACACTCGTCTGGTGCCTCAAGCCGCCTCATCCGATCATTTTGAAGAGGCTGTATGTTAGAGCAAGGAGCACCCTTGCGCCTATGGCTGGCCAGAGGAAGATGCAGAAGCATTTGATCTGTCCGGAGGTTATTGTCTCAATGACTTCTAGTCATGGCTTTACTGAATCAGCATCAGTATCGTTAGTGTCAGTATAATGTCGCTTCTAGAGGATGATCCATGGCCGCTGTTGACTCACCTTTCCTTCCGAACTATTGCTCAGACATGGGCCGTTTGCAGTTTATGAGTTCACTTTGCAGGTACTGCAGGCTTCCATGGACTCGATATGGAAATCCTATTCGATCGCGGCCAGGGTGGCATCTTGCATATCGAGAGCTAGGTAGGAAGGCTAAGATTCCATTCGGAAGGTACTTCGATCTACGATCTGTCACCGCTGTTTATCATGTGATATGGTGCATACAAGAGAGTATTCTGGCGGTACGGCATCTCGAAGGGAAACAAACATATCTGGAATCAGCTGCAATAAGGCTAGCGTAGGACGTCTTTGTGCTATGAACAGAACACTGTCTTAGTAGCTTGTGTATGGTAACAGCCTCGGTGATTACCCAGCAGGTGACCAGAAAACTGCTAAGTATCTAGACAGTACCTTCCTTAGAATGATGCTGATCCCGGACAAGGATATGTCCGATGGAAGCGCACAGCCCTGAAGCGAAGTCAAAGATGCACGATTGTGTAGAGGAATGAATAACCGGCCTCGGTTAAAGCGGCGACGTCCCGAAAAAAGAAAGTCGACGCAGCGCCAGGAGACAATGCGCAGCGGTTACCACCCGCCATCACATGGCTGCGAGCATCGACGTGGCCGGCCTCCGTTCGCGCCAAAGTCCACCATGATTCTGTCTCGTGGGACCCGAGCATAATCCTTCCCCCTTTTCTCATGACAGCAACTGACGATCAGGGCGTCAAACGAGAAGCCGTGGCGTGTTTGCAAGGAGATGCCTTACAACAACACTGTCAAGCAATCACCTGTCGCTGCTTCAATATTAACAGCGATATCTTGGGCGCCCATTATTTCTATACCGCTACTTCGGACTTGGGCAATTTCAGCATCACACGACTGCAGGAGGTGATCCTAGCATCTGATGATGCTCACCTCTGGTATGTGCCTTTCTTTCTTTGGTCTCTCTGTAGCCTTACTGTACTATGTTGAAACTCGTAATTGGGGTATTTACAGTATTTCACACAATTTCCGTCGGTCTGTTTTTCTGTCTTTTTCCATGCACTCTATTTCTTGGTACCTCACAAAAGTACTACATTAAGTCAGGTACCAGCCATGTGAAGACATACATCTCAACATTCACGAGGATATCGATTTATACCATCAAACTCCGATCCAGACCATCTGGGGCCTTTTTGATTGGCACATCTGCACCGCCAGATATACACCTCTCACCCCTGGCTATGCGATCCGATTAGCCCGTTCACCCTCGACACCTTATATACCGGACCAATAGAGATAGCCAACCCGGGCTAATTTATCTCGCTCTAATTTGAAAGCACTTAGATCTAAGCCAATAGCCTTTGTAACCCCCTTTGACATGAAACGAAGCCCACAGCAACTGCCGATTAGCTGAGAAACATATCCGAGGTGCAAGTCACATGGATGGGACATGGCGGCTGTCAACCTAACTCTACCGACTCTTTCGGGGATACCTTATATCGCAAGGTCATGCGACAGCCGGAATCGGTGCCTGATCTGCCTAAACTTGAACCAATGTCTTCTTCGTGCTACACTAACTCGAGTTTGTCTTTGTTTCAGCTTATCGCCATGAAAGGTTCCAGCTATTAACCAACACTTACTTGGCCGCCCCATGAACTCTCTGTTATGAGTGTGCTATCCGACCATACCCAATCGGCAGATGATGACGGTTATGAGAGCACGCCCAAGTAGCAATGTGACAAGTCTACTAGATGTTCCTAATCCGAACTCTCAGCCTATTGCGGGGAAGGACTGCTAACCCCGGAAACCCCTGATCCAGTTATTGAACCCCATGGGCCCAGCCCGCCAACTGGCCGCATTCATCATCCACGAACAACAGCTATCTATAGCAGAACGACACGGCATATAGACAGAGTCATACTTTCAACAAAAAACAGACGAGTCTCACCTCCACAGGGCCTAGAATAATAGATCGACCATAGCAATTCAACACACGCCCATGCGTAATGATGACTCCCACCTGTACCCTGCAGCGACCGGACCAGTTACTATGATAGCTATTAACCCACATCAACGGCGGTATCAGCCAACGTGTAACAAAAGCGCCCTAAATCAGGCAAGGAAGAAGTATACAGCCCTGTCATCTGACACGAGGAATTTTTTCTCTCTCTCTCTCTCACTCATCAACCCCGATTAAGGAATAACTTACTAATTATAATACCCCCATTTGCTTTTTTTCTGTTTTAGTCTTTTCCCCCTCATTTGTTTTTCCTAGAACCAGGTCTCGGGATTCTGCAAACGTTGCACAACGGAAAAACTAATCTCATCTAGACAACTAGTAGTTAGTCACTTACTGCACATGCAACTGATGATTTCTCAACGGACTCCGTACTTACAGTTCTGCATGATAGTACTCTAGACCCTACACCTGTTCATGTATGTTATGTACATATGTACCTAGATGGGTACTTACATGAGTGGCGGGGGGTGTGGGTGTGTGGTGGTGCAACACACTGCCACTTACCGTAAGTATTTGGTTGTTGTTGTTGTTGTTTTACGTCCAAATCGGCGGTGGGTGGGGGTCGATCCTAACCGGACAAGGTATCTGTGAACATGCCTGTTGACCCAAATACCGGGACATGCAGATGCGATGACGATTGTTCTACTGCTCGGCTTATTGCCTCATCCTGGTTCTGATTCTTCTTCGGAGATAGCATAGCATACTTTTCTAATACAATACTTACTTTTCTACTTGGCTATCTAAAGCCATAGCCACTCGTATAGCGATAGAAAATAAAAGGCGCGGGTATATTCAAGCACCTAAGTATAGTATAGTAATACATTATCGAAAAATATGTAAGTCCATACATACATACTTACATAACTAATGATCTACTATTATTTATTGTCTTTCAAAACATACATACTTGAATTACGTCCGTCCGTCCCTGAATCAAGGAATAAACCACTACCACTAAATAACCAACTAATTGACTATTATTCTTCAGCAAGACAAAGGCATACCCAAAGAGACAACCCGCTGGCCAATCTACTTTACTTACGGTCAATGAAAAGAACTTTGCGTGATTTATGTACGGAGTACTTAGTAGTAGTAAATATAGATAAGGCGTAGGTTACTGTTATCTTGCTATCAATCCAAGGCAAACATATGTATGCATGGATCATGCCTAAATATCGCACATAGTAAGCTACTCAGGTATTGAGCTGTATTGTTTTGTAGCACACACACAACTTCAGTTACACTGTGTTCCTCGTTTTCGCCTCGGTGGGGGGAGGTTGATCAATCCGGGGTAATTCCGTGAACGTGCCCTTTCATTGCTGCAGATTTGAGAGAATGGAAGAGGAGGTGGCAAGTAGGTAGGTAGGTAGGTGAATACACAGTTGGTTTCCTTGCAGTATTGGGGAAGAGCTCTCAAGACAGATAGATGAGGAATAGATGGATAGCTTACGTGGCTAGGTAGGAGAGAGATAGAAGGGAGGAATTTTTCGATGGATGGCTGGTAGATGGAAATAGTAAAAGGAAAGGAGGTCCAAGTCCAAGTCCAGGTCCCGGCCCCGTGTTCCAGCCCAATAGGACTACTACTGTTGTTACTGCTCATTCTTCAGTCGGGAGAGTTTGAAGCTATGTTTTATATTGGTTTTATCGCGTGTTGAGGATTCGGTGGGGGGGGGGGAAGGGGAAGGGTACGGAGTAAGGAAGAGAAAAAAAGAAAGAAAGAAAGGGCAAATTTCAGATTTACCGCAATAGGCTTCCCGGAGCACTTACTCAGTCAATCAATGATGTGTGTGTGCGGGTGGGCTTGATTTGTTTTTTCCTTTCCTGTTCCTCAGATCCTTGAAATGCGATCCGCGCTATAACCCTTGCATTTACGTGGAGAACCCACCATTCCCCTGGAGGTCAAAGCGAGCGAGAGCTGCGAATTTGCATGATCTGGTAGCCGCTAGGCTGGGTTCTCGAACAAAGGTCCGATTCTGAACCGGTCTATTTTGCTAACCAGTTCCTGGTAGATTGGCCCTTTCCTGGGTTACATGACAAGAATCGTTCATGGGTTTTGGCTGGTCCGGGGGATGCGGCCCGGGAATTATGGAATGTGACTTGTTCAGGAGAAACGGCGGTGCTACGTACCACGTCGGTTCCCCATCGTATGGCATTTGACGGGAAGGCAGGAAATAGCAGTGAAAGACAGTGAGAAGGAGGGAGGGATTGAAGAAAAAAAAGAGACCGTGTGTGTATATTGGGCTTTGTGCTCCATAGCAACCCATACATTAGTGCTGGCCGGCTTAGTGACTGGTGGTACCCGGCTGCCCTGTGTGCCCGGGTCGTTATCCCTTCCAAATGCAAATCCCGGGAGTCGATATCCGTGCGCAATCCAAGCTTTAAGCTATGCATAAAGAATTCAAGGGCCAGAGAAAGTTTTGAGATCGTCTCAAAATAAGGCTAGAGTTCAGGAGGCAATTCCATCCCAATATGAGGCAATATCGCCCTGGTGAAACGGTTTACAGATGAGTTTGTGACCCCTGGGATTATGGATGGTATCAACAACATTCTCGGAAATTTTGGCGATCGTAAGAAGTTCCCAAAGTCGTAAGCTTTCTTCATGGGATGGAAGACGTCGATGGCCAATCCACTACTACTCCAGGTGAATGCCTGAGTGTATGGCACCAGCCACAGCAACATACCGTAGATCATGTCGTGCAAGATCCAGACGGTTCTATGATCTACAGTGCCGTACTCAGTAAAGTTGAGGCCACTGTGTTCCTGGCTGACGCCCTACTTCGACCAGTCCCAAAGGAGGAATGGCAGACTACCTATAGAGGAAATAGGCAACGGGCGTTGTGTTCACACAACAGCATCACCGTCCCTGTTGTTGTTCCCAGCCTGCGCGTCCTGTCGGATATCTCTAGTAGTGACTAAGGTCGGGCGGGAGTACTCCGTAAGACACCGGCGGCACCTGCTGTTTATCATTCTTTGTCTGCAAGCTGCACTTGATGCATGGTGCCTTATCCGGTGCTTCTAAGCCGCTGTTTGACGTGATGCAGCTGCGTCCAGTAGCGTCCTTCCATCCCCGTTGGCTTCTAGTCAGCAATCGATCATTGTGTGTCGGCACTTTCGCAGGTCAGGAGAGCAGTCGACAATGGCGGGGCCGAGTAAAGGCCGTATGGGCGATACTGTTTCTGTACGGTTCAATTCTGTGTGTGATTGTAAACGAGTCAACTCGGTGTATCAATCTCGATTGAGCATGATATGGTAGAGAGAGATAGATAGACATGGAATCCCCTTCAGCCGCGACCAGTGGCGCATTAATGCCGCGGGACGACCCCACATCATGTGATGGAGGAGCTGTCTTGTGACTCGGGGGTGGGCCTTTGCCACTGCGGGTTTGTTTAGTTTTGCCCCCACGTTAAAGGGGGCGGGCGGGAGATGAGGTAACATCAGTCAGTACGGAGTAGTCAGTCCTCTGTCACTATTGTAGCTAGCTAGCTAACTAGCTGTATTTTGTACACTGGCACTCTGGCAGGTGGCATCTGCATCGACTCGCTTCTACGCCACGGAGCAATAGTCGCCTCTGCCTGTTCTACCAGCAAGGTAGGCGTCCTGATGCTGTCAATGGTCCTCGGCAACTTTCTGTCGGCATGGACGTCAGCTCCCTCGATCAAGTGTGGATTGCTTTTTCTTGCCTTCCACTGGTGTACCGCGGGAGTCCCTCGGATGCCCTCATCGGTTGACGGATTCTCCCGAACAATCGAGGTCATCTCGAACAATGACAACCAATTGTCAATGAACAGTTGGTTGATGTCCCGAGAATTTGTAAAGCCCTTCCTACATATGGAATCATGAGATAGCGGGTTCCAACCACGGTATAATTTCACCTCTCGTGCAGCATCGTCATCATCATCCGGAGAGTTTACCTGGATAGGCTCAACAACACGGAGAGTATGGAGCATTTCCCATCCCATTGTTAGGGAATTACTGGGACTTCCCATAAGCTTAACCAGGCAATGTACCCAGATAGAATGTAGCTCCGTAGAATTCTGGAAAAAGGGCGTCATCCATGGAATTCCCTCTATTCTTCATGGCACACACCTGCAAGAGGTACGCCTGATGAATCGGAGTGTGGTCGAGTGGGCTAGGGCGCAGCTACGTGGCTCCCTCTAGAAGCATCGCTGTGGAACGATTCCATGCATGAAAGATGGCAGCTGAGCACTTGGATCATTGAAAGCGGAGGTGTCCGCCCCCCAGCTGCAAGCGAAGCGAATAAGCTCACCATGTTGACGGGTTTCCCTGATTTTCACCTGCCAACAGAGCTTTGGTGCCTAGGAGATAATGCTGCTCCTGGTTATTGTCTGCATTGAATATGCAAGAAAGACGGGTGTGGGCTCAATTATTAGCTATGGAGCTTTACTTACTATCTACTTACTTATGTTCGCAAATGCCGATCTTGACTTAGTACTTGACTATCACTGTCTAATTAATAGCGCCTGTCTAGTCTTGGTAAGAGTTTATATCATTGCGGGGTTTACCTGGGCCATCCGTCCCCCGATATTAACTTCTCCTCCCTAACATAGGAGAGTGTGTATGAGGGTGTATAGAGTAGTACCTTCCCCATGCTACGGGGCATTCCGTAGTAAGACGTTTACTATCCGGCAATGCGATCGACTTTAACCAGCAAGTGACCACAATGTGAACCGCCTTGCAGATCGTTCAACGTCGCCGCTACTACTCAGTACTAACTCGACAGGGCCTTGTGAGGCTTGGAAACTCCCTTTGGGCCCCAATAAGCCGACGAGGTCACGACCCCTCCACATTCAGCCCCCTGAACTTCTACCTTTGCTTTTTCTTTTGCTTTTTCTATTTTTTTTTTATTTTTATTTTTTTTTTTTTTTTTTTGATAATTTCTTTTGAACTTCCCGTATTTCATACATCGGAGAAAATTTGGAGATGGTTTGGATGAAGATGGAAAAAACAATCTACACCAACGGGAAGCCCGCCTTAGTGAAGCAACTAACTACTGTACAAGCAGATGACGGCTTTTACTCCGAAGATGAAACAGCAACTTTTTATTTTCAGTTTACAACTCATCCATCAGGTGTTCGGGGTAGTGAACCTGGACCTTTGACGTGGAACATCACATGATTGTAAAACGTGGGCTGACGGCTTGGGAACTGGCTGGCACTGGCTGTCAGTTTCCAAAAGGGCAGTGGTGATGGTGAATCGGGCGGATCTTCTGAATCCTAGTTCCCCGAACCACTCACCCGGGGATCCGCGATGAAGGATCAAGTGTGGCGTTTTAGTCTATTATTGATATTGTTATTATTCGCAACGGGGCGTTTGGGAAGTTTTTGCAAGGCCCCGTGACAGGAAAAAAAAAGGGGGGGTGTGGTGGTAGGGTGGGAAGGAAAGGGCTAAACCGAACAGGCGGGTAATCAATCCAGGTATCTAACTACTACTCCTTGTGAACGATTGTATCATACGTGCTGTATGTAGTATTGCCTCCCATTGTTATTTTTTTATTTACATTATGTTGTTTGGGGATATACTACTACCTACCTACCGTTCTCGCAAAGATAGCATCACAAGTACTTTAGTGACAGCTGGCAGGATTCTCGCCTTGTGACTATGGACGGGGTGAGGAATGAGCGAACGCGAATACTCTGTTGTTGGGTCACTCAGATTAGGTATACCAGTCTCCTGAGACCGGTATTCGGAAGGGATACATAGTCATTGGACATGTGTACTTTAATTCTCAAATCAAAAGTGCTTTGGGGTATCGTGGCTTGGAGGGTAAAAGGGCATTGAAGACTTGCGATTCAGGGTACATACATACATAACTGCTGCAGACTTCAAAGGGCGCAATGAACTGATAAGAGGAAGGAGAACTATGTAGGTGTGAGATGATCATCCAGATCGGAAACGCTGCGCTCTTTCCCCGGTATGCGACTCCGCCTGGGGCATTTTGCGAAGGTACATACCACCACCGGCTAATAAGAACAAACAGTAAGGAAGATCAGTGCTCAGGCCATTTCAGCCGGGATGATTGAACCATCCACGTCGACATATCATATGGTTGTAGAAAGTCAGAGTTTCGATCAGACACGCTTGAGCCTAAAAGGGGATCAGGGTCGATAAGTTGGGGATGAGGTCAAGTGCCGGAATGCCCGGTTTCAGAACTAGGTCGGGTAGTCTGTGTGTAAGATGTTGATGTCCAAGAGACCGGGTAACAGGAACGTGGCTTGGGGAGGTGCCCAGAATGTAGACGGTAAAACCCATGGTTTCCTTAGTCACATTTGGATATCAAGAATCTGCCCGAAACTAAGCATGTCCGTGACGAAAGCAGTTGAACTGAATCGAGCAATAAGTCACTAGTCAGCAGGACATAACAATAATAGCCCAGCGGTGGGTGGTGGGTGAAGTGTCAAATGCCCCTGACGAGGCGAGGGATTAGGCACAGTGCCTAGATTGACAGTAATAATGATGGAAATGGATCTGGATGCTGGGTACAATGATGGAAGTGGCTATCATCGTTAGGTCTTCAATAGTAGTGATCATTAACCCGATTCCTACAGTATGCCAGCCCTGGCGAATTGACAAGTGCGGAGTGATATCAGCAGCACTTCGCCTCGGCCAATCGTTCGGGACCCATTTTTGAGAAGTCAAGTGACCCGATCGATTGACTGGTGAACTGTTAAAGATGCCTTGTCCTTAGTCAGCCGAGGCGATGGTCACAGGACGGGTTGATCTTTGTTTGAATGTTTGTCTAGAACGATCCCCTGTGGCCTTTTTTCTCCCTCCCCCTGTTGTTGTCATTGCTATCTCTCCAGGGGTTTTGCTTTGTCGGTGATGCATACATAGTGCTGCCGGTCCGAGATGAAGCGAGAACCAGGGTGAATCAAGGCATCAGGTCACAAAAACTTTGAGGCTTTTTCAAAGGTGATCCATTTCGGGGGCTGCTATCCATACCTGGATGGTATTAGTATGTATCTATCCAGATCCAGGGTCAAGCTTCATCTGGTTGCAAGTGTTGGCGGTGGGTGTAGACGCATTCACCGATGTATAGCTGGCCCTACTGGGTTTAGTGAAGTACCTGCCTTCCTACTTGACTAGTAGTATTGTTCTTCAATACCAGTTTCGTACTTTGTTCCAAAGTGGGACTCCGGAAACAGACCGATGGTAATATTACCGGTGTTATAACAATGTATGAAATACCAGTAGACCCACGGGGGTACTCCGGATGTACCATTGCGAAAGGGGAAATTTGAATTTCAGAAAAATAAAAAATCGGAAAATGGAAAATAAAAAAAAAAGAACGCAAATAATCCCAAGATTAATCACACATCCGGGACCACGGATGGGGAGGAGGCGCGGCTAGGAGCCCATCCTTGTACTTACCGCCATCCCCCCCATCGCTGGTCAACCACAGTACCTCTCCCTCGGTACGTACCCCCATCGGACTTTTCTCTTGTGGCCACCGTCAAATTCCCATTTTCTGCCATTTTCTGCCTCTTTTTCCCTTTTTTTCCCCTTGTACTGAACCCGTTACCAGTTCATACCGGACACTCACTCATCCACCCTCCCTCCCTCTTCCCCCCAATTCTCCACCGACCCGTCCGTTAACTATCTTGCCTTTTCCTCTTTTCTTCGTCCGCTCCACCAGCCAGACTAAGGTTCTCCTCCCCCATATTCCCCTTCGATTTTTTCCCTTCCTTCTTTCCTCCTTCACTCATTCCTCTCGCCCATCACCCTCAATCCTCATCCCCACGTCCATCCCCGACCTCCCTGAACCGGCCATATCTACATACTTCGCGCCAGTACGCCTGAACCTTCGTTCAATCTTCACCCACCCCGACCGTTTTTCGTTTTCGGTCGTTTCTCTCTTGGATAGGTAGTACTGGAAAGTGTGAAGGATCCGCTTACGGAACCGGCTTCGATCAATCGACCTACCCCGGATCGATCTCTCTTGCGCCATACCACCCTCCATCTCGCACAGCAATTGTTGAACTCGACACCTGCTGCACTTGACAGGCAGCTTGGGCGCCACTTTCAATCTCAATCGACTTTCTGCAGCACGCTGCAGAACCCAAACTTGGAGGCGTTACTCTCAGTAACCTTGGAGGATCGAAGAGGTCTATTTCGCAACTTCTCGCGCCGAACGACCACGCTTGGGGGAGACGGCGACCCCGAAACTACACTCCTACGGGGAAGAAAAGAATCGTTTGAGGAACTTCAACATATTCGAAATTGTGGCGTCGTTAGAATGGCTTCGCGTTTTTCAACCCCCGTTCTGACGGTGGATACGGCCAAGATCCATAAGGTCGACACAGCCAATGCGCAAAGTCTTCATGGCATGTGGATGGGTAAGTGCATCTAGTTTGTTGCGGGTATCAGTCGCGTCTGGTGGCTGACAATTGACCTCCGAATTTAGTCTTTTCGAAATGTGCCGACTATATGGAGGAAGGCCGACGTCTAGAAAACCTGAGCTGGCGACTCTGGACACGTGAGACCTTCTGTGTGGAGCCGGAGACCTCCAGCACTACCTCGGTTTTGCCACTTCTTCGTTCCGAAGCTGGGGATTTGCCAGAACTTTCCGCGAGTGTCGAATCGGCGGCGTCGGAGCAGGCTGAGCGGATAGAGCATCACATTAAACGCCCGAAGTGCTTGGACTATAAGCCGGCGGTGGTGCGTGAGGATTCTATGGCCAGCCTCGCTCGCGGAAAGGAAAAGCATATTACATCTCTAGGTTTGGAACGGATGGTGCTGAACATTAAGGAGAAGAAACACCTTGAACCCATCTCCACCGTCATGTCGACAGTCGAGCCCCCTGTCGTCGATATCACACCACGTCCTTCGACCCCTACTCCCGCCACCCCTCCTTCTGTCTCTACTGCGAGGCGGACGCCAACCCCGCCCCCGTACCCTCTCAGCCAACAACCTAATCAGTCCACTGAGTCTTGCTCAACTACTGCGCCCGAATGCAATGACAGCGATAACAATGGCAATACCGCCGGGTCTGATACTAGCGTTTCTTCGTCCGGCATTCTTACCCGATCCGAATTGATCAAGTCGCCAAGCATCGTCCGCGGATTCTCTCCCTCTGTCATCTCTTCGTCATACCGGTCGCAACCTAGATTGGCTGCCGAACCTGGCCCGGCCAAACCTCCAGCACAGCTCAAGCCCACTCCCTTCAAGAAGAAGGGCGGCATGTTCACTCTGGGAGGCTCGTCGGGTGACGACGATGAAAGCTCTTTCGAGGATCGCATGGCAATGCAAGGGCCCCATCGCAGTTCTCTTTCTGATGAATTGAGCAAGCCTTCGGCTAGTGGCCAGGATCTCAGGAAAAAGGTGGCTTCCTTCAGGGACCAGAATGAAATCATCAAGCCCATCCGTGAACGTGCTATGGATAACGAAGATGCCGTCGAGACGGACGATGAGGTTTCTGAGAGTGCTATCGAGGACTCGGATTCGGACTGGGAAGATTCGATCACGGAAAGCGGCCGATCCAGTGTTGAGGAGAAGGAACTCTTCCAGCGTGTGGATTCCCGGCCCAACCTTGTTTCGCGTCGCTCCCTTCTTACCATGATGATGCATCAGCCTACTAAGATGGGAGCTCCGACCCGGTCTAGTCCAGCCCTC